CTTTCATCCACCGGTTAGACGAGTATCCGAGTTGGTGGCGCCGCAAGGTTTGGCAATGCGTATCAGGGGTTTTGCCAAGGGGGATCGTCTTACAACGTCCTCCTGCCACGGGCACGGGATTCGGTTATGCGGTCTCTTCGAGCATATGTGCTGCTTCGATCGTTGTGCCTGGCGGTGCTTGGCATCGCTTTTGGTTCTGGCTTTCTCCCCATCTTCACTTTGGCCGATGAGCCTGCGGACGAGTCTCCGAAGTCTGGGTGCGCGACTCCGGATTGCTCGCTCGCCTTCGATGCGGAACTTGGAGCCGAAGAGCCGCTTGAAGGGTCGCCTGCAGAACGGAAGATTCTGCTCGACAACGAAGTCTATCAGGCGCTCACCGGCGGCAGCATTGAATCGACGTCTGGGCAGCAAGTGTCATTGCCTGGGGTGTTGAAGCCGTACGAGATTGATACGGCTGACATCAGAATGATCGAGTCGCTCGCCTTGCCGGCGGACAGCCGGTCGCGCTTCTTTCGCAACTCGACGGTTTCGCCTACGTGCCTGTCGATTTACGAAGCTCAACCAGAAGGGAAGCATACGCGGCTGTATCACGTCGATATCACGTTCGTCGTCTTCGGCGGGCTGCAGTTGGTGCAAAGCGATGCGTTTTTGTGGGGCATGGCCCAGGGCATTCTGCAGGCGGGTGCCACCGATCGTGAATTCAAGAGCCGGTTTTTAAAGTCGCGGGATTTGACTGCTCGGGGAATTGAGCTGCATGGGGCCGACGAGCACGTGATTCACAATCGGTTCAAGATTTGGGACCGGTTGATCGTTTCGGCCACCAGCCATGTGGAAGTAACCCGGGACGAGAACACGCTGCTCACCGCCGCGATTCTCGACACACGTTTTATCGACGATGAAAAGTTCCCCACGCAGTGGCAGCCGGTCCATCGCAACGCGGTGGGGCACTTGCAGTACGGCGAGCCTCAACCCTACTGCCGCGGCGGGTTCTATTTCCACTTGACCGAACTGCCGGAGCCGGCGGGTGCCGTGCTGGTTGAATACCACCAGCTATTTGAAGAGCCCCAAGGCTGGTTCGATGGCGCCAACCTGCTGCGATCGAAACTGCCGCTGTTCGTGCCGGTGGGGATTCAGTACTTCCGCGAGCAGTTGAGAGTGGCCGGCCGGGAGAAGCCGAGCACGGATGTTTTGTTTCGGTAGGTAATTGGCACTCGAGAGAAGATTACTCGTCCACTTTCCGAATTACCCGGCATGGGTTTCCTGCGGCGAAGACTCCTTCCGGGATATCGCGGGCGACGACGCTGCCGGCTCCGATGACGGAGCGGGAGCCGATAGTCACACCGGGACAGATGATCGCCCCGCCACCGACCCACACATCAGAGCCGATGTTAACAGGCTTGCCGTATTCTTGTTGTCGGCGAAGTTCAGCGTTCAAGGGATGGGTGGCTGCATAGATTTGCACGGCCGGCCCGAACATCGAATGCTCCCCGATCGTCACGCGACACACATCGAGTACGACACAATTAAAGTTGAAGTAGCAGTTGCGGCCCAGGTAGATGTTCGATCCATAGTCGCAGTAGAAGGGCGGTTCGATGCAGATGTCGTCGCCGCCGGATCCGAACAACTCTTGGCAGATCCGCCGCCGTGTTGGTTCCTCCGCCGGCAAAGAGTTGTTCAACTCGTGGCACAACTCTCGCGCACTCCGCCTCGCCTGCACCAACTCCGGGTCCATAGGTTGGTACATTTCACCGGCCAACATCTTTTCACGCTCATTCGGCACGCGCGGTTCCTTTGTTGAAGCGTAGGTCAAGGCTTGCCCTGACACACATAGCCGGTCAGTCTACTTCTCAGAGCAAGAACTGAGAATGGATTAATGGACAGCCGGTATGATGATGAAGATATGAAGCAAGAGCAGTTTAACGATCACCACATGCGACGTGTGTGAGAGATACTTATCGTTGATGATCGCCGCGGTAAGCAGTACTAGCCATGCGCCGCCAATTCGCCCGATTTCCAGCCAGTTATTCACTCCGAATGATGCGGCGATGCCGGTCAAAGTCACGAAAAGTCTAGAGAGTGAAAACTGAATAGCTCGCTTTCATCCGAGTTGGTGTCGAAGTCTGTGGTCATCACAGCACTCGGACAGGTCTCGCGACCTACTTCCCCTCTGCAAAGCAATACAAGTGCTCCCGGGTCCGCACAAAGATCTTCCCGTCGGCGATGGCCGGTGTGGCAGCGGTGACTTCGTCGAGTTCGTTGGTGGCCAGGGTTTCTAGCTCTTCGCCGGCGGCCATAACGACGATCGTACCGTTCTCACCGGTGATGTAGATTTTGCCATCGCCGTACACGGGCGAAGCGAGGTGGCGATGATTGTTGCCGAACCGTTTTCGCTTCTGCACGGTCTCACCGTCACTCAGGCCGAAGGTGGCGAAGATGCCGCCGCTTTTAAAGACGTACATGCGATCGTCGAGCACCAGGGGAGAGACGATGTGGTCGGGTGCTTTCGATTCGTGCTTCCAGAGGATGTGCGAACCCGAGACATCGCCGTGGCCCCCGCCTCGCACGGCTTGCACGAAGGCGGACGATTGGGCTTCGAACACCTCATCTCCAGCGTCCTGAACATCGGTGCGTTCGCCAAGCCGGGCCTGAACGTCGCTCGCCAGCAGCCCGCCCTTGTTTGAGGGATCGAGAAATGCCAGGTCGATCTCCTCGCCTTCGAGTACGCCGTCTTTGTTTTTGTCGCCTCGCTCGAATTTGACCCAGAACGCTTCGGGAATCGGGTTGTCGTTCAAGCGGTACTTGTTGGTCTCGATCTCCTCCCGGGTGATGCGCCCATCGCCGTCGGCGTCGGCCACGGCTCGCCATTGATAGGAGATGCCTTTACTCTCAAGCGAGAGATACAGAATACCGTCGAGGCTAACTGGCGTGGTCTTGATGTTGCGGCAGAACACTTCGGCCGCCCAGTTTCGTTCGCCGGTGTCGTAGTCGTAGCCAATCAAACGGCCCGTGCCGGCGACCACAACCTCGGGCCCTTCGTCGGTCTGGCTGATGACCGGATGCGAGTAGCAACAGGCCATGTCGCTGCGATCGTCTTTCCAGATAATCTCGCCCGTGCGTTTGTCGATGCAGTACATCGCAGGAAAGAGATCATCGTCTTGGCAGAAGAACAACCGGTCTTCGTGTAACACCGGAGACATGCCAGGGCCCCAGTCGAAGACGAAGTACGGCTCGGGTAGTGGGCGATGCCATACGTCTTTGCCGCTGCTTGCGTCGAGCGCCATGAGGCCGAAGCGTGTGAAGTAGACGTACACCCGCTCTTCGTCGGCAGCGGGCGTGGACGAGGCGTAGCTGTTTGCCTCATGCACGTTGGCCAGCGGTTCGCCTGTGACGTCAAACGTGCGCCGCCACAGTTCATCGCCCGAGTCGGCGTCGTAGCACAACACCACGAACTGATTGCCAGGGCCTTCGCCCAACATGGCCGTGGTGAATACTCGACCGGCGGCGACCACCGGCGAGCCAATCCCGTCGCCCAGTTTGGCTGACCACACCATGTTTTTCTCGGGCGAGAATTCCGCTGGCAGAGCTTTCTCGGCGGTTGAAATTCCCGTGCAGTTGGGCCCTCGCCACTGCGGCCAATCGTCGGCTCCGGCCATGGCACGGGACGTTAGCAGGATGAGTAATGCGGCGATGAACTGCCGGCAAGGAATTCCACATCGAACCTTAGGGATGGACGCGGACGCCAGCTCGAACTTCTTCATCACAGCACTCCTGCCACGGGGCAAACCACAGGACTTGTTTGGGTATCCCGAACCTAGCGGACTGGTGCCTGGATTGCCAGCATTTTCGGCTGTCGACTCGTCAATCTTCTGCAGGGAACGCCCTCCATGGCGTTCCGCGCCGCACGAAAACTTCGGAACTCCACGAAGGGCGGTCCCAACAGAGTGCTGAGTTAAGAACGATGGGAATCCGGTGGATTGAGCTGATATACTGGCAGCCAACGACTGTCTCTCGATTGCAATTCGTACGAGGTTTGCAATGTCTCGAATCGCGTTGATTGGTTTGATCGCTCTGTTTTCGGTGTTGTGTCTCACCACTGGGTCGCGAAGCATGACCCCTGACGAGGCCGAGTTGACGCTGCATCTGCGGAGCCGAGTACCGCTCGATGAAGCTAAGCCGCAGGGCGAATATCGAGTGAAAGAGGAGACGGTCGATTGGGATCCGCATCATACGGCACTCATCATTTGCGATATGTGGGATGATCATTGGTGCAAAGGTGCAGCGGCCCGGGTTGGTGAGTTGGCGGGACCGATGAACGAACTGGTACACAAGGCCCGTGAGATGGGGATGCTTGTCATTCATGCTCCCAGCACCTGCGTTGACTTCTACGCTGACACACCGCAGCGGCAGCGAGCAAAAGAAGCTCCCTATACAAAGCCTCCAGTCGAACTATCGCAGTCGATGCGGTGGGGCACCAAGTGGTGCTGGCCCGATGAACCGCGCGAGCCCGGGATGCCGATCGACGATTCAGACATGGGCTGCGATTGCGAGACCAAGTGCGAGATCAACGATCCCTGGACCCGGCAGATTGCCACGATCGATATCGAAGCCCCCGACGCGATCAGTGACGACGGGCAGGAAGTATTCAACCTGCTGGAAGCCCGCGATATTGATCACGTTCTGATTGCAGGTGTGCACTTAAATATGTGCGTGCTGGGCCGGTCGTTTGCGATTCGGCAGATGGTACAACTCGGCAAAGACGTCGTATTGATTCGCGATATGACCGACACCATGTACAACTCGGACATGAAGCCGTTTGTGAACCACTTCGAAGGCACCGATCTGGTAGTGGAGCACGTGGAAAAGTACTGGTGCCCCACGATTACCAGTGTGGATTTGGTCGGTGGTGAGCCGTTTCGGTTCCGCGAGGATAAGCGGAAGTAAATCACCCGCGCGCGTTGTAGGTCACGAAGACGTTCTAATCTATGCAATAGGCGGTCACCATGGATCACACACGAATCACTCGACTTGCTCTCGCGACAGTCGTCTTGGTTGTCTTGAGCCTGAACGTACAGGCGAAAGAACCGGTGACGATGGACAACTTCGTTCGGGCAGAGACCGATCGGTACTTTGCACGGTTCGTCATGGGAGGCGGCTTGGGCAAGTTTCGGCACGTGCGAAATCTTACACCGATCGAAGCCCAGACGGTTATTCGGATGAATCGAGACACGCTGTACTCTTCTGCGGTTTTCGACTTGGAGGCTGGACCGGTCACGCTGATCAAGCCCGACTCGGGCGACCGCTTTCAGTCGATGCAGGTGATCAACGAAGACCACTTCACGAAGATGGTCGTCTATGATGCGGGCGAGTACGAACTCACGAAAGATGAAATCGGCACGCGATACGTATGTGTGTTGGTGCGGACGCTGGTCGACCCGAGCGATCCGGCAGACATTAAAATGGCCAACGCCCTGCAAGATCAAATCGATGCGCGTCAGGAAGCGACAGGCGAGTTCGATGTTCCCAAGTGGGACCAGAAGCAACTAACCGCGATTCGCGACCGGCTGAACAAGATTGCTGCCGTCGGGCAGGCCATCTCCGACGACAATCCTAAGTTCGGCGACGAGGGGGAAGTCGATCCCCTGGTGCATCGCGTGGCCACTGCGTATGGCTGGGGTGGAAGCCCGCGTGAAGCGGCCATCTATATGCGGGGGGCACCTGAGAAGGGCGAAGAGGATGTTCCGCATACCATAACGCTCAGCGATGTACCGGCCGACGGGTTCTGGTCGGTCACGGTCTACAACGACAAAGGCTACTTCGACAAGAACGAGTACGATGCGTACTCGGTGAACGGTCGCAACGCCCAGAGAAACCCCGACGGGAGCGTGACCGTTCACTTCGGCGGCGACCCCAGCCAGCCGAATTATCTGCCTGTGGGCGAAGGCTGGAATTACGTTCTCCGGCTATTCCGGCCTCGTCAGGAAGCCCTCGAAGGAAAGTGGAAGTTTCCAACGATTGAACCGGTGCCGGCCCGGGTGGGAACTTGATTGTCGTTGGATACGCATAAGCTCTGGTTTCGAGCTATTCTCCGCCAAACTGCAAATCTCCACATAAAATGTGGAATATAAGCCCCCGTTTTTCTGGAGTTTCGCAGAAAATTAACTTGCCATTCATAAAGCGGGCCGGATAGGGTGTGCTCTGCACCTAGTGGGGAACTCCTTCGAAGTGGCAGGATCTTTTTTCGAATGGGCTTTGGTGCGGCCCCTCGTTCATGTGGGAGATGCTAATGAGCCATCCAGCAGTGTCCATCCGTCTTTCTTTATTTGCGGCGGCATGCGCGGTCGCCTTGGCCAATCAAACGGCCTACTCACAAACCTCGACCAAGGTATTGAACTTCAGCGGCGGAGCCGGTTTTTCTGGCACAATCTCGGGCGATATCACGGCCACAGTGAAAACGCAGACCAACGACGCCAGCATCCAAACACAGGGCGTCCTCGATGTTCTCGACTTGGACATCGACTTTATCAATGGTGGCGGGTTTTTGAATGCCTTCCCCAACGGCGATTCTCGCAATAACACGGCTTCGACCACCATCAATATTGGTATGTCGAGCCTGGGCATTAACATTCCAACCACTCCCTTCAGCAGCGGGGTGAGCGGCTCGATGACCGTTACCGCTGGCGACAACCTGGCCAATGGTGTGGTTGGTGCGATCGACGCTGGAGTCGCTGGGTCGGACGGTGCGTGGGATGATCCCTTGCAGACTGGCATTCTCAACAATGCCACGGTCGATTCTTTCACGGCAACACTCGACGACGACATCAACGCGACCGTCAATGTGACCGGCGGACTAGCCGCATCGATCCCCAACGATATTACGATTCCGAACATCGTCGACGAGACCTTTCTTGATGCCGATCTTCGGTTGAAGAACTCGTCGACGGTCTCCGTAGATTTCACCGATGTGCAGAGCTTAAGCCTGAAGGATCTGGCATTTAGTTCATCGGTGCCTGTCAGTCTGAGTAACCCGGAGAGCAACTTCATTGAGAACCTGCATCCAACTGGGGTGCCTCAATTGGATCTTTCGACTTCGGGCTCGGACCTAGTGCTGACCACGGTTTCTGGAACGCTTTCAGCCGACCTTCTGGGTACCATCTTCGGTAGCATCGATATTGCAGCCGATCTCTCGGTGATTGGGATCATCAACTTTTCCGTCGACTTCGACGACGTTGTGGATGGTGCATTGAGCGATCCGGATGTGTCTTTATTGGAACTCAACGAGAGTATCGAGCTTCCTGATGTCGAGCTTCCTTTCGGTTTTTCGGTGTTGCACGATGCCACTTCGGACGTGGACTTCGACGACGTTCTGGCGGCAATGCAAACCACCACATTTGGACTGTCGCTGCCTGTCTCGCTGCTTGAGGAAGATGTCGTCCTCAATCTGCCAGCGATCGATTTCGAACTGGGAACCGACAGCGGTACCGGTGGCGTGGCCGGCTCGTTCGAAGTGGACGAAGGATTCTTTGCCAATGGCACCATCGAACTCGAACACTTGCTGGCTCAACTGGGCGGGCAAGTCGTACTCGATCTCGAAGCCGACTTGATGCTGAGCGCCGATCTTTACACCTCGGCGTTCGAGGCTGCGGCAATCAATGTTGTGCCCGAGCCTTCGTCGATTGTTATGGCGGCCATGTCGGGCCTAGCACTCGTGGCCTGTGGAATTCGCCGTCGTCGTAAGAAATAGTGCGGCGCGAATCGCAAACAGTTAGAGATTCAACCGAAGGCGGGCTGCTTCCTGAGTGGGAGCAGCCCGCCTTTTATTGTTAGAACGCGAAGTTTTGCTTTGGGAACCTATTCCAGCACCAGCGTAGGCCGATCGGATTGACCAGCTTTGGGGAGCGGCAGGAAACGCCCGATGGAGAACCTTCCGGCCCCCATCAGCAGAATCGGCACTAGCAGCCCGATAAGGGCCAGGTTGTATTCGAAGCCACCATTGCTTAGGAAGAAGCCGTTCTTGCCGTGCACCATGCCGATGGCTCCGAACATAATCACAATCAACGATGCGGCCGAGAAGCGACACAGGAAGCCGACGATTAGCCCGACTCCGCCGAAGAATTCGCCGATCGTCACAGGATAGCCCATGAAGCCCATCTGCTCGACGGTAGCCTCAAGACCCTTGCCATCGAAGAGGCCGAAAAGTTTTTGGGCCCCGTGGGCCGCGAAGATAACTCCCACGATCACCCGTAGGACGAGGAGGGAGATGTCCACGGTCACACGGTCATCCGTTGCAAGTTTTGCGTCGCTCATAGCTATCCTACGATTCAGTTGGAGGAATGTCTCAACGAATCGCTACTAGAGCAACAACCGTGTGCAAACGCAATGCACGTGGCCGGTCGCAACGCGGCGTTAAGGCAGAGCCCGCGTGATGCCACCCCAGGCGTTCACATAGAAACGTGGCGGTGGGTCGCCCTGTGTTTGTGGACGCGGCACATAGGGGCTCTTTGGTCGGGTCAGAGCCTGCTGGGCCAAATTCGCCGATTGATTGCGCGCCGCGAGTTGTGCCTGCTGCCGGGCTTGGTTCTGACGACGAATCTCGGTCACCTGTTGTTGCCGCGACTGGTCGAACTGTTGGTTGGCGGCCACCGAAGATGCACGCTGATTCTGGAAGTTCTGCAGTTCTTGCTGCAATTGGGCCACCGTCATTCCGAACACGTTCGGCATCATGCCGTTTCGGGCCAGCAGCTTCTGCCGATACTCCATCGTGGCCACACTTAGAAACGAGCGGGCCTGCTTCGCCTCGGGGCTCATCAATACATCGAGTTGTTCTTGAGTGGTGGTGATGAACTGTTGCAGCTGAGCGGCGTCGAGCGAATCGACCTTCTGTCGCAGCTCCTTCACCAGTTCTGCTGTTTGGCTTTCAGTGTAAATCTCTTGCACCGACATCCACTCGTCGAACGATTGCACCAGCTTCTTCCAGGCAGGGCTTTCGAGGATTTGTTCCCGCGTTTCGCCATTGCTGGTTTCTGGCTGCGAGGAAGCGCTGCCCGAAGCAGCCGAACCCTGTGCGAAGGAGACTTGAACGCCCAGGCAAAGTACGGCCATTGCCACGGTGACACGAGTGAGTTGAACGAGCATGATGGTTCTCCCGCGATGTTTTCCGATAGCAAGAGGCGACTTAGCGCCCGCTCTGGGTTCGCTCGAATTCGATGACGGAATCCTCGACCGGGGTTCCGTTGATGGTGACATGGGTTGTCTTCAGCACGCAGCGATCAGGGCCTTCAGGCACGAGGAAGCTCACGCCCTTATACAGGCTGCCGTCTGCGGTCACGCCCGAGGTTTTGATAATCCACGAGCCCTTTTCGTGATGCCAGATGCCTTCGACGATACCGCCATCGGCATCAAACACCCACGAGCGAATGAGCTCCGCCCCAGGGTCCCAGCCAATTCGTTGGGTGCCCATGTGAACCGACTCGCCGTCCTTCTCGATGGCGAAACGCCGCACGATGAACTTTTCGTTCTCGCTCCAACTCGCCGAAGTAAGCATCTCGAAGCCATCGCCGCGCCCGACCCAATCGCCAATCAACCAACTGAGCGATTCCAAGGGGCCATGTTCGGCCGTGTCTGTCGAAACCCATTCACGCAGGCTGTCGAGCAGCCAGCGGTTATCCTTTTTGACCCAGATCGCCGAGTAGCCCCCGGTGGCCATCTCTTCGCCTGTGGCCAGCGGGGTACGTGTGGTTCCCTCTTCCACGGCGACTTCGGGGGTTACGAAGCGGATCGTCGAGTCGGAATCGACCGGCACCTCTTCTAGATTTTCGGTGTCCACGTCGCCGGAGAAGTGATTCTTGATCAGTTCGTGCGCGTCGAAGGTGTGACCGGCAGCGTCGACGTACACTCCGTCCTTGGTCCACAGGGCGGCAAGTGCTGCACCATCGCCACGGTTGAGTGCTTCGATGTAAGCTTTGCCTGCGGCGCGGATCGCGGCTTCTTGATTCTTGTCGGCGTCCTGCTGGGCCCCGATGGCAAGCGTTCCGCCCCAACTCAAAAGCAGGGCGAAGGCGGTGATTAGGGCCGTCGTTGAATGGCGGTTCATGAAGTTCTCCAACGCACACTCACGTTTAGGGTTCGCAGAAACGGAATAAACGGCGTAGCCGGAAGTGGGCGACACCACAAGTATAGGACGAGATTGCGCCCCAGATATCGAGTCTGCCGAATGCCCCGGCCGCGGTCAAATTATCGCCGCTAAATGTCTATTTGAGATGCCGTAACCGGCCAATAAGGCCTTCTGAACCCATGGTTTCGTACCCAAGGATTCCACGGCTGTTGGTGCCAATTTGCCCCGACACTTTCGGGCGACAATACTTGGTACCTGCTGCAGATTGCATTTAATCCCACCAAACCACCGGCCTGGTCGCTAAGCGCGGGTGAGCCGGCATAAGAGCACGAAGGACTGAGCATGCCCCGAAACTTCCAGATTCTCGTACTTCTGTTGCTTGTCGCGGTGGTGTTTCCAGCTAACCCAACCGCCCAAGCGGCGGATGCTAAACAGCCGAACATCGTGTTCATCATGGCCGATGACTTGGGGTACGGGGACGTCGGATGTTACGGACAGCAGATCGTTCAAACACCGGTGATGGACCGCTTGGCCGCCGAGGGGCTGCGCTGCACATCGTGCTATGCAGGAAGTACCGTCTGCGCCCCTTCACGCTGCGTGTTGATGACGGCGATGCATACCGGGCACGCACGAGTGCGAGGGAACAACCTGATTCCGCTGGAGGCCGAGGATGTCACAGTGGCTGAAGTTCTGAAGTCGGCCGGCTACACCACCGGCATCTTCGGCAAGTGGGGCCTGGGCGAACCGGACACACCAGGCATTCCCACTCGGCAGGGCTTCGATCAGTGGTTTGGCTATCTGAACCAGCGCCACGCCCACAACTACTATCCCGAGTACCTGTGGCGAAATACCCAGAAGGTGATGCTAGAAGGAAATCTAAATGGCAAGCGGACGCAATACAGCGCCGACCTAATCATGGACGAGGCCCTCGCCTTCATTAAGGACACCGACGAGCCGTTCTTCTTATACCTGGCCGTGACGCTGCCGCATGCCAACAACGAACGGGGGCGCGAGACCGGCAACGGGATGGAGATTCCCAGCGACGAACCGTACAGCGATCGCGAGTGGCCGCAGCAGCAAAAGAACCACGCTGCGATGATTACCCGATTCGATTCCGATGTCGGACGCGTGATGCAAGCGCTGGCCGACAAAGGCATCGACGATGACACCATCGTTTTCGTCACCAGCGATAACGGACCGCACCGCGAAGGCGGAGCCGATCCCGAGTTCTTCAATAGCTCCGGACCGCTGCGAGGGATCAAGCGCGACTTGACCGATGGAGGGATCCGTGTGCCGATGATCGTGCGCTGGCCGGGTAAGATCGAAGCCGACACGATTAGCCACGAAGCGTGGTCGTTCCAAGATTTTCTTCCCACGGCCGCTGAGCTTGCTTCAACCGCATCGCCCGAGGGGATCGATGGTGTGTCGATGGTTCCCACACTGCTCGGTTCACAAATTGCTGGTCATGAGCAGGCCGAACATGAATATCTGTACTGGGAATTCCATGAACGCGGTTTCAAGCAAGCTGTGCGGATGGGCCCCTGGAAGGGAATTCGCAACAAGCCGGGCCGGCCGATCGAACTCTATCACGTGGTGACCGACATGGCGGAAGAGAACGATGTGGCCAAGGAGCACCCAGAACTGGTGACTGAGATCGAGACGATCTTTGAAACGGCCCGAACATCCTCGCCGCACTGGCCGGTGAAGTAGCATTCGATGCGGGCGAGTTCTTGCTGAGAGATGCCTGCGACAACGACGTTGCAGGTCCCCTTTCACAAATCGCTGCTCCAGCGGTACCCTAGGGCTTTCCGACAACCGTGCTTTAGTTCGAAGGTACCGATGAACGGCCAAATGCCTCCGGGATATCGTCAGATTCAAGTGATGGGCTGCCTCGCCACGGCCCTCGTGTTCGCTTTCTTATGTGTGTTGCCGTGGCTGTTTGTCGAAACGATGCAGTTGGCCCTCTCCCGGCTTCATCTTTCCACCACGGTCGCCACGCTCTCGGTCATTGCGATTCTGTTCGGCAGCTTCTTCAACTTTCCGGTGCACACCATCGAACGGGAAGAAGAACAGGTGATCGATATGGCGCCCATGTGGGGCGGTTCGGCATGGGGGCCCGCGGTGGCTCAGCGAACCAGAGCTACGTACATCGCGGTGAACGTCGGAGGCTGCATCGTGCCGTCCCTGATTGCCCTATGGCAGTTGCGATTTCTCTTCGATACCGGTGGGTGGCCACTCACCGCGGTGGGGATTGTCACGGTATCGAACATTGTTATCTGTTATCTGGTCGCCCGACCGGTGCGAGGGATTGGCATCGGTCTGCCGTGGTTCACCTCGCCGGCGGTTGCCGTAGGACTGACGTGGTTGCTGCTGGGATTTGGCGACGACACCGAGGTTCGCGCCCCGGTGGCATTTGTCGCGGGAGTGGCCGGGCCGTTGATTGGAGCCGACCTGCTGCATTTGAAGGACATCACCCGCGTTTCCGCCCGCATGCTTTCGATTGGCGGGGCCGGCACGTTCGACGGCATCGTGCTCTCAGGCATTCTGGCAGCGCTGTTGGCGTAAGCCGCCAAGGACCTTACGCTTCGTTGGCGTCCTTCGACTGCCCATTTTCCACGTGCATGCGGCCATGGCGGAACGCTTCGGCCATCGCTTGTGGCACCTCGGCTTCGGCCATGACAAGGGCGGCCCGATTCTCGGTCACTTTGGCCTTCATTTCTTGAGCATGTGCCACGGCGAAGGCGCGTCGCTGCTCGGCTTTGGCTCGAGCCACCCGCATGTCAGCTTCTGCCTGATCGGCCTGAAGTCGGGCCCCGATGTTTTCGCCGACGTCGATATCCGCGATGTCGATCGAGACGATGGCGAACGCCGTCTGAGCGTCGAGCCCACGGGCGAGCACCGCTTTGGAAATTTGGTCCGGGTTCTCCATCACATCGAGATGCGAATTGGCCGAACCGATCGATGTGATAATGCCTTCACCAACTCGGGCGATCACGGTGTCTTCGGTGGCCCCACCGATCAATTGAGAGAGGTTCGTTCGCACCGTAACGCGGGCACGCACCTTCAGTTCGACACCATTCTTGGCGATGGCACTCAGCGTGTTGCGATGAGTCTTATTTGGGTCGGGACATTCGATCACTTTAGGGTTCACGCTGGTCTGCACAGCGTCGAGCACGTCGCGGCCGGCCAGATCGATGGCGGCCGCCCGATCGAAGTCCAAGTCGATGCCGGCCCGTTGGGCGGCGATGAGCGCCCGAATTACCCCGGGGACGTTTCCTCCGGCCAGGTAATGCGCTTCGAGACGCTGAGTAGTGATGCCTTTTTTGTCGGTGGGAAGCCCCGACTGTACGGCCATGATTCTGGCCCTGACAATTAGGCGGGCATTGACCTGTCGCAAGCTCATTCCGACCAAGCGACTGAAGCCAACTCCGGCGTTGGCCATGAAGGCCTCGAGCCAGAGATTCCAGTAGATCAGCACGACCACCAGGGCGACGCCTGCCAAGCCCAGCAAGACGATAATTGCCAGGATCACCCCGATGCTCATGACATTCACCTGAGACAACAGAGCAAGTGCGGCCATATTCATAGGTCGGTTCCTTGACTAGATTCTTGTCTAAGCGTTGCCCTAGGGCTTGGCTTGCCGAGCAACTCGGGCTCGGTTCCCATGCGGCAGCCCGTTGCACCCTCACTGGTAGCATCTCAGAAAGCGTTGCTACCGTCGGACAGCATAACGGTTGCCGTAGCAAACGAACAGTGTTTTTGGTCGTGCAGCGAATTCGAAGAGGTCCCCTATGCCCACTCCGGTATCACTAGTTCGATACGAAGAGGTTCTGCCGGGGCAATCGGTCACGGTCGAACACCAGGGCAAGGAATTCGTCGTGTTCAATGTTGAGGGGGAGTTCTACACCTTGCCCAATTTGTGTCCTCACATTGGCGGTCCCCTGTCCGACGGGCCCATTGAGGGACGGGTTGTGGTCTGCCCCTGGCACGGCTGGCAGTTCGACATTACCACGGGCAACTGTCTTACGCACAGTCGCCATGTGGCCTGTTATCCAACGCAGGTCGAAGGCGATTGGGTGGTGGCTGAACTGCCCGAGTGAGTCCAGGTTCGCACTGCCTCAATTGCCCGCCTCAACCGAGGCCCGTCGAACGGGGCTGGCAGCACTGTCACGGCATGCACTGCTAGGGGCGAAATGGCGAACCGCCCTTGTTGCCCATCAGGTGATTGGGTACAAGCCGCGATCCGAACCGGAGGAGAACTCGTAGCTTGCAGCTACCAGGAGGTCTGGACCGTGGTAATTCGTTTGGCTGTTTTCATCGTCGCGCTCGGCTCTGCCAACGTGGTGTGGGCTCAAACCGGGCCTGCGAACCCTGCGACCGATACGGTATTGCAGGATCAGGCCACAGCCGACAACAAGCTCACGCTGAAAGACGCGCTTGAGAAGGGCCTCAAAGCCAGGCGGCCTGAGGAGTTCGAATTCATCGACCGTGTAGTGTTCCTGGTCGAAGAAGGTGTGCTACCCAAGCGACTTGTACAGTCGACCTTCTTTTGGGCCCGTCAGCATCCCCGCATCCCAGCCGTGTACTTCGAATGGGCCTTGCGCGCCCGCGCACGACGGCTGGGTATCTTGCTGTAAGCGACTCGTTGCGTACAACGAGCTATCGCGACTGTGCCGCCGTGGTGAGGCGTTCGATTTCGCCACCGAGACGCCCGGTGAGCATGAGCCACCACATCTTGAAGTCGCCGATGAGCGACCATAGGGGATGTTTGAAGGTGGCGGGGCGATTGTGTTCGATGATGAAATGCCCCACCCAGGCGAAGCCATAGCCGCAGACCGGTAAGGCCAGGAGCAGCCACAACCAGCTTCCGCCCATCACCAGCGCGAAGATAAACAGGGCGACGACCAGCGACGTGCCGATGAAGTGTAGCCAGCGGTTGGTCGAATTGCTGTGTTCGCCCAAATAGAACGGCCAGAACTCTTGGAAGGATTGAAATCCGGTATCGCTCATCGCTTTTAATTCCCGTATTTGGGTAATGTCTCGACCAGACCGAGTCGCACGAGAGGACCTGTCCTCGACCCGTCATTTTGCCTTCCCGCGGCGGACGGAGCAAGCCAGTTTCGCGGGGGCAGCGGCTGCGAAGTGCCTCACAAGCGGTCCCCTTTTCGTGCCGGGGAGGCAAATTACTTGAAGCCCCCGGCTCAGCTTCTACACTAAATAAAAGCGGTCCCGGTCTGCCGTGTTCTCGGCAGGCACTCGTCTTTTGGCCGCATGTGCAAGTGGGGGTTGGAGAAACTTCAACCTACGTCGAGGAACCCAAAGATGACCGACAGCAACATCAACTACGAACGCCTCCCGGCCGACATGGAAATGGACGAGACGGATATCAATCTCCGCTCCTACTTCAGCCGCCTGCCGGACGAGAGGCTCTTGGAATACGATCCGTCGTGGAGCGACGAAGAACTGATGCGGTGGGACGATAACTTCACCAACGAGGGCAGCTTGATGCTGGTGTGCAGCGAGCGCGACGTCGAGATTGACGAGTACCGCGCCGTGCTGGAACAGCACATGGGCTTCCGCGGGCTTACGCCCCAGTCAGAATCGTCGCAGGCCTGATTTTCTTCAGCGACGGTCATTCGAATTAGCGGGACGATCTACCTGATCCTCCGTCGTCTCTGGCCCGAGCCGCAAGGCTCGGGTCAGAACGTCGACGATCCACCGCAGCTCATCATTCGGCCGGCTCGATAACAGGCCGACTTTCTTACCCGTGTGCGAATGGATTTGCAGTTCCATCACCGGCACCTTGTTCACCGAAGTACCACTTGGCCCGAAGCGGATAGATTCGATTTCATCGCGGGTCCATTCACGTCGCTTCGATTTGAAGAGCCCGGTCTGCAGGATCATTAGCGTGTCGTCCACCACGGCCAGTACGGCGCTGCGACGAGCCATGCTCACGGCACTGAGCATCATCAAGATACCAACGAGCCAAAAAACCGAGATCAAACCGATGAAGATCATCAGTTCTCCAGTCTCGGGCATCTCTGCGTCGGCTAATCCAACGAAGACGAAGAACCCGGTGAAGATCGCCATGAACGCGCACCACACGGCCGCAAAACCGAAGATGCCTTTGGTGCCCTTCAATCCTGCCGGTGGGATCTTCAGCGTTACTCCATCTTCGAAAGCATCGAACGTTACATCGCTGTTGGCCGGCTGAGTCAGCGGAGTGCCTGGCAGGACGTTCTTGGGTCGAGCAGTGTCGAACTCCCACGGTTCTTCCACAGCTTCGACGGTGGTATCGAGCCGTTCGCCTAAATCTTTGGCCAGCGCCGAACAGAGCGACTGAGGGTAGCCGGCCGCCAGAATCAGGGGGCGAGGACTACTTGAGTCGACTTTGATGAAGCCGAATTCCGCGAGCGGGCCCGACTTCACCGGCTGCCCATTCACTTTGACGGGGGCGTCGTACGTCGACAATCCTGAGATGTCGGCCGCATCTCGCTGCCAACTCTTGTGGAACATGCCGGCGCGTTCGGTGGTGGTCAGAACGCCGCCTCGTAGAGTGATTACGTTCTGCCCTCGCCTGAGGAACTGCCCGAGGGCGTAGAATAGCCCGCTGCCTAGCAACAGAGGAACTACGGGAATTAAGCCACCCATGGCAATCCAGCCATCGCCACCGGGGTCCATAATTTCGGTGATGGTCGTATACACCACGTACGCACCGCCCAGGAAGCAACCGAGGCTGATTAGCGAGAAGGTAAACCCAAGCGTACTCAATTGCCCCAGTTGGCGGATCGGCAGAACGTACCGCACCCCGTCGGGCAGAAGCGTTTCTACTTCGAAGCCAGGATTGGTCGAGGTGGTGGCCATGACAGTTTCTGTGGAAGGCACAATAAGGGTCGAAATTGAGCGGGCAGGAGAAAGTCGCGAGTATCTTCCGCAAGAATAGCATTTTTGCGAAAAGTCCCCGATTATTGCGGAGTTTTCACGCGAATCGCCGGAATGAAAGACTTTCCACCCACCCTGCTCAAACGATGTGTTTAGCAGGTGGGGGCGATTTGCGACAAGGAGAATTCGGCCGCAGTTCGAAGCGGTAATGAGTTAGTAACCGCATACGTCGCTGTGGACCTGGTAGTTGCGGTGGAACTTCTTCGACTTCTCAGGGTCGTGGCACACAACACAGGCCTGACCGTCGGCCAGTTTGTGGTGCTTTTTGGTCGACTTGCCATGGACGTCGTGACAGCTCAGGCAGGTTAGTTCATTGTTGCCATACAGAACCACTTCCCTCACGTTCTCCATGATGTGTCGATCGGTGGGGTTCACCTCCGAGTCGTCGGCTTTGGCGAAGTCGACTTCGAAGTCGCGGAACAGATTGTCGCCCGCAACGTAGTTGTTGGGGTAGGGAAGACCCGTGCTTCGCGATTGCCCGAAGCGGATGTGGCATTGTCCGCAGATGGAGACGACCACCCGGGGGTCGTCTTTGCGAGCTTCTGATAAGGGCATCAACTCTGGTTCATTGGCGTGGTCCAGTGGGGCATCGCCATGGCAGACATAACAGTCGTGGGCCACGG